TCTGCTGCACGCTGCTTCAGTCGTCTCGACGACCTCTACCACTTGCACCACGGCCCCTCCGCTCCCTCGCCGCCACGCTGGGGGGCACTTCTTGCTCGTGGTATTGCTGTTTTTGATATGACTATGGATGATGCTATGTCATATGCCATGTATGCTGACGTTGACTATAGTGCTCCTGGATCTGTGTACTTGCCTGTACCTAGCTTAGGATCTTTGCCTGTTGCTAGAGTAGGTGCTAGTGTAGGATCTTGTTCAGCTACTAGTACAGGTACTCCCTCGGCGGACGCCTCTCTCTCCTTCACACTGGACTCCGGAGCGTCACACTGCTTCTTCCGCGACTGCACGACTCTCTCTCCGCTACCGGCGCCTGTCCCTGTAGCACTGGCCGATCCCTCTTCGGGACCGGTCGTTGCGACTCACGCCACTACACTCCCGTGCCCAGCTGCTCCTTCCGGTTCCCTGAGTGGCCTCCACGTTCCTACGTTCTCTAGGAACCTGGTTGGTGTGGGCACCCTGGCGAGACAGCACGTTGGGATCTGGGTTGAGCCTTCTGGTGACACCGCGGTCTGTGTGGACGGTGACACGTACGCCCCCTTGGCCACTTTTCGCCAGGAGCCGGGCTCCAGTCTGTACACCCTCCGCACCGACCCCCGTCAGGTTCCCCCGTCCCACCAGGTAGCCGGGTCCAGTCAGGTTGCTGTGTCAGGTGTAGTTGCTGCGTCGTGCTCGTGTCGGTCGCTTGCCCACCCCTCCCTCCTCTGGCACCACCGCCTTGGTCACCCTTCCCTCCCTCGTCTCCGCGCTATGTCCAGTCAGCGTCTTGTCTTAGGCCTCCCCCGAGTCCTCCCGCCACTCCCGCCATCCCCAGCTCCTCCGTGCGGTCCTTGTGTCCAGGGTCGGCTGCGCGCCACCCCTCACTCCTCCTCCCTTCGTCCGGCCACCGAGCCCTTCGAGACGCTCCACTTAGACGTCTGAGGCCCCGCTCCCCGCCTTGGCCCTGCGCGTGAGCGTTTCTTTCTGGTGGTCGTTGATGACTACTCTCGGTACACCACTGTGTTCCCTTTGGCGAAGAAGTCCGATGTGACTTCTACGCTGATCCGGTGGCTCCTCGCCACCGAGGGCACTCGCGGTCGTCGTGTCAGTTGTCTTCACTCCGACCGTGGGGGTGAGTTTCGCTCCGGCATTCTCGCCAGATTCTGTGCTGAGCAGGGCATCACCCAGTCCTGGACTCTTTCAGACTCTCCACAGCAGAATGGGGTTGCTGAGCGCCGCTTAGGCCTGGTCATGGAGATCGCCCGCACCTCCATGATCCACGCCCGCGCGCCCCATTTTCTGTGGCCCCACGCGGCTCGGTACGCCGCTCACCAGCTGAACCTCTGGCCTCGCGTCTCTCGGCCAGGGGCTTCACCGACCAGTCTTTGGACAGGGTCCCCTGGTGTTGCGTCGAGGTTTAGTGTCTGGGGCTGCTTGGCTCTTATCCGCGACACCTCTGTGGACAAGATCTCGCCTCGCGCTGTCCCCTGTGTCTTCCTTGGTTTCCCAGAGGGCTCCTCCGACTTCACCTTTTACCACCCTCCCTCCCACCGGTTCTTTGACTCTCGTGACGTCCGCTTCGACGAGTCCGTCCCCTACTACGTCCGGTACCCCTGTCGAGGTCTCCCGGTTCCTCCCCCTCCCCTCTTCCTGGCTCCAGCTCCTCCTCCTCCCGCCCCTACTCCTCCGGTACCCCCCCCTGTACCCGCTCCGTCTGGTGTGTCCCACGCTACTCCCCCCCCCTTGGTACCCCCCTAGTCTCTCCTCCTTCCCCACAGTCATCCTCACTGCCTCCGCAGCAGCCGTCAGCGCTTCCTTTACTGGCCACTGCGGCCTCTGAGGGTGTTGGTGCTCGAGGTGAGGGCTCGGGCGGTGCTCGCTCTAGGGGTGCTGGCGTTGGAGCTGTTCGTGCACCTACAGGAGCAGCCAGTTCTGGGGGCGTTGGCGTTGGCGCTGAGCGTGCACCTGCCGCAGCTGCCCGTTCCGAGGGTACTTGAGCCGGTGGTGGTGCTGGAGCTGGTGGTGTTTCTGGAGCTGGAGAGTCTGGGGCTGGTGCTGGTGCCACTGGAGGCACCACGACTGGGGGTGCGGGTACACCTCCTACAGGTACTGGTCATGCTGCCGCGGGAGGTACTCGCTCTGGGGGTGCTCTGCCGGGTACTGTTGAGGACGGAGCCGGTTCTTCTCCTGCGTCTCCCGACACCACTCCTCCTCCTCACCCCTACCCGACTCGTTACCAGGCCCTTCTTCGTCTAGAGCGTGAGGAGCAGCAGCGTTTGGAGCGTGAGAGGTCGGAGGTTCAGCAGCGGGTGGAGCGTGAGAGGTTGGAGTTGCAGCGGGAGCAGCAGCAGCAGCAGCAGCAGCAGCAGCCGCAGCAGCCGGAGCAACCTCCGGCCCCTGTTTCTGGCCTTCGGGCCCTTGGTCTCCCCTCCTCTCCTCCTGTGTTCGGTCCTACGTTTCCTCCTCCGGACTCAGCTCCGGCTGTGTTCCCTCGTTCTCAGTCTCCTCCGTCTCCCTCTCCTCTCGCCCACACTTGGACCTCTCGTCCCCCTCGTGCTCGTCCTTCGTCACCTGTCACTGACCTCCGTACCGTGTTGTTTCGTCCTAGTCCTCCTCGTCCTCCTCCGTCTGTTCTCCCTCGTCCTCCTGAGTCGTCTCTCACTGCCTCCCTGTCCACTCCGGTCACTGACTACTACCGCATGTACCGCCCTACTCTCTCTCGTGTTCTCGCCTCTCTTGTTACTGACCCTCGTGCCTCTCCTTCCTCCGTCACGGTCCTCACTGCCGTTGTCACTGACTTTACTGCCACGCGTCGCCTTGACTACGCCACTCGTGTTGTGGCCACTCCTCATGTCCGTCCTCTATCCGCCGGGGGTGAGTCTGCCTTTGGCTGTGACGTCCTGGAGGACAGACAGTTTGAGCTAGAGTTCCTGGCAGCTGCTTCGCCTCATCTCTGTGCCATGCTCCTCGCTCCTGAGGGAGACCCCGACGCTCCTGACATACCCACTCCTTGCACTTACGCTGAGGCAGTGTCAGGGCCTTGGGCCTCTTAGTGGAGAGCTGCCATGGACGCAGAGATGGCCTCCTACAGGTCCACATGCACCTACGTTGACGAGGTTCCCCCCCAAGGGGCGAACATAGTTGACGGCATGTGGATCTTCAAGGTGAAGCGGCCGCCGGGATCTCCCCCAGTCTTCAAGGCACGCTACGTGGCTAGAGGGTTCAGTCAGCGTGAGGGAGTTGACTTCTTTCAGACCTTCGCGCCCACCCCGAAGATGACCACTCGTCGAGTGTTACTACACGTAGCAGCGCAGAGAGACTACGAGCTACACTCTCTTGACTTCTCCACTGCCTTCCTCCAGGGTAGTCTACACGAGGAGATCTGGCTACGTCGTCCTCCGGGCTTCACTGGCACCTTCCCGCCTGGGACCCAGTGGAGCCTCAGACGACCGGTCTACGGTCTCCGCCAGGCACCCCGTGAGTGGCACGACACTCTCCGCTCTACTCTGTCCGACCTCGGGTTTGAGCCATCTTCCGCCGATCCGTCGCTGTTTGTTCGTCGTGGGCGCACACCTTTCTTCGTTCTCGTCTATGTTGACGACCTGGTTTTTGCCACAGCCAACACAGTTGCACTGGCGGAGGTGAAGTCCGAACTGCAGAAGAGACACACCTGCACTGACCTTGGGGAACTGCGCCGCTACCTTGGCCTGCAGATCTCCAGGGACAGAGCCGCTCGCACCATCACTCTGACTCATTCACACATGGTGCAGCAGGTCCTTCAACAGTTCGGGCTTCAGCACTCTTCTCCTACACCCACCCCTCTTGCTGTAGACCACAGACTCATTGGGCCTTTTTCTGACGAGCCGTTCGAGCCTAGTGGTCCCTACGCAGAGCTGGTGGGCTGCCCCATGTACCTAATGAGGTGTACTCGCCGGGACCTCGCCTTCCCTCTTAGCATCCTTTCTCGTTGCGACTGGGAGACACCGTCCAGTTCACTGGACGGCGGCTAAGAGGGTGGCGAAGTACCTCGGCGCGACATCAGACATGGGGCTTGTACTTGGAGGGACACAGCCAGTTGTACTCACCGGTCACTGCGACTCCTCCTACGCCGACGACGTTGAGACTCAGAGGTCTACGCAGGGTTACTGTTTCAGCCTAGGCTCTGGAGCTGTTTCGTGGAGGTCCACTCGGTCCTCTTTTGTTGCGACTTCTACCGCAAAGGCCGAGATCTACGCTAGAGCCCTTGCTGCACAGGAGCTACGCTGGTTGACCTTCTTGCTCACTGACCTTGGTGAGCGGCCGAGCTCTGCACCGACCTTGTTTGCTGACAACAAGGCGATGATTCTCCTGTGTCGTGAGCCTCGACTGGAGAGCAGAGTGAAGCACATCGACGTCAGGTACTTCCTCCTTCGAGAGTTGCAGAGACGCGGACAGGCTCGTCTGGACTTCGTGGCCTCCGAGGCCAACATTGCAGACATCTTCACCAAGGCCCTTCAGCCTTGTGACCACCGCCGGTTTTGTCTGCAGTTAGGCCTCGTTGAGACTAGGTCTAGTAGACTGCAGTAGTGAGTTCTTGCCTCTTGTTTGTGTGTACCATATATATTAGCTTGTATACTCTTGAACTGGCCTTGTGGCCCTTTGTTTGTGCTCAAACTGTGTGGTGACGTTGTGATCCACCATGAGCTTTGTTTTCTCTCTTACTTGTGACTGGTCTTGTGACCTTAGGTTGCGTTTCTTGTTGCTTGGCATTCCCCACTTAGGCTATGGGGGTGTGTCAAATGTTATAGCCTCTAGTGGGTCATGCTATATGGGGTACAAACAGTTAGGGTTAGGCATTTGTACCCCAACCCAATCAAACCAACTCATTCCGCTGTGTTTAGTTTTTGAGAGATACATCTTACCACAGTACAGACACACACTCTTGAAGCACAAGATATGGTAAGGAAGCACCTATCCGAAGTCATTCTTCAGACGGCAAGATTGCGGACCCGTTGCCTTAGCTCCTCAAGCTGCTGAGTGGACGTCTGCAGCTGCGATTGCAGAGCATCCACGCGCACAAGCTCATCATCCACAGCACGACGGTATGGTGCCAGCTCAGCACGGATGCGTGTCTCCAGGTCAGCCAGGCGGCTCTGCAGCTCGCCCTCCAGCCCCTCCTCCAGGCGCTTGATGAGCCCCGCTGCCCGCTGCCGTATCTTGCCCTTCACCTTCTCCCGCCGCTGCGGGAAGGTGAGCACGTTCAGGGAGCTGCTCGCACAGCAGTACAGGCGGGGTGGGGGGAGGATGAGCACGGTGAGAGTGGAGTGGTGGTTGTGTTGGTGGAAGAGCACATGGGGCTTAACCAAGGCAGTGGGCAGCTCACACTCATCAGCAATGCTCACCCTCCTGCGGCCTTGTCGAGGCCAACTACACGATGCAAGCCCCACCCTGTGGCTGCTTCAGTCAGTGCAAGGCAGGGCGTGCAAGGACGGTGAAGGGAGGCTCACCCGCCAGCGGTGCAGACAGTGAGGGCGAGCAGGTCCTCCAGGGACGACTGCAGCACGGCCGTGAGCACCGACGCCGACACCCCTGCCACTCCCAGCCCTGTCACCGTGCTCACCACCTGTGCCGTGCCATGGCCCGTGTTGTGGTCGTGCGGCACGCAGGAGGTGAAGGAAAGGGAAGGGATGGGGACGTGGAAATGGTGTAACAGGGAAGGGGAGAGAATGGGGAGGCACGGCAGCAAAAGCTAAAAAAATGAAACAAATAAAATTGGGAAAAAGAGGGGTAAGAGAGAAAAGGTGGAGCGCCAAGGGGTCAAAAGTGGAGAGCCAGGGGGTGCGAGCATGGCTGAGAGGGATTGGTGGTGGAAGCGGGCAAAGAGAGAATACGAGACTAGTGGAAAAGGAATGGATGCGAGGACGAGCTGGGTCATGCGGGATCACGACAGGGCCACCATTCTTCAGTTGTTTCATCCACACATTCATCAATTCCCCCACCTCACTTCCAATTCTCTCCTCACTCATTCTCTTTTCCCACACACTCCCTCATCTCACCGACTCCCGCATTTCTTCCTCCAGCAGCAGAGCAGCAGCGCGCGGGCTGAAACCCTCCAGAATGCCAACTGTCTCAGGAATCCTCCCCTCCTCGCCCTCGCCCTCACCCTCCTCCTCACTGCCCGGCAGCGCGGGGGCGGGCGGCACGGAGGGCCAGCGGGTGCGGGCGAAGTCGCGGTAGCAGGCGAGCTGGCGCGCGTTGTTGGAGCGCAGCCACACGTGGTGCTCCACCAGCGCTCTCTGTGCCACACGTGGGAGGGGGTGAGTGTGGCGTGGACGGATAGGTGTGGCACGGCATTCCATGGGCGGATGGGGGGTCAGGAAGGAGGGGGTTGTGATGATGAGGTTTTTGAATTGGTTGAGGGTAGGGGAAGAAACGAGGTGGTATAGATGAGTCAAGGCATGTCAAATATGGGAGTGAAGCGCATTGGACAAGCAGGTAACCAGGAGGACCTGGTTCTGCTGCTGTCACTACACATCCCAGCCTACCGGGGTACCATGCATGCCAGGCATGTCAAGCACGTCAGGCATGGCACTCATGACAGGCATGGCAATGAGGCGTGTGTGGCAGCACTCACCCGCACATCAGCCACCACGGTGCCCATGATCTGAGTCTGAAAGCTCTTGCTCACAGGCAGCATGCCGCCACTGCCACTCGCCCCATCACCACTTCCCCCACCACCCCCACCAGGCGGTGAAAACAGGTACTGAATCATGACGTCAGCATTGCCCAGCCGCAGCGTGGCCTCCACAAACTCCTCTGCCCTTCCCGCCGCCTCCCTCACGAGTGCGGCCACGCGGGAGCGCTGCAGCAGGGAGTCGGTGCGCATGGCGGCGCCGTACCCCTCCATCTGCGCCTCCACCGCCGCCAGTGCCTCATCGTCCCGCGCCGCCGCCTCCGCCTGCGCCGTCAGCTGCGCCTCCGCGCCCGCCAGCAGCGCCGACGCCACTCCCAGCGGCGTGTCCAGCTTCAGCCGCAGCCGCTCTGCACCTGCGTCGGAGGAACCTTCCAGGAACTGCTGGATGAAGATCTCAAGGTCGGCGAAGCCTGACGCCTGGTAGGACGGGTCGTTGCGCAGGCGGACGGCTGCGGCTTGGGCGGCGGGGTCGGGCGGCGGGAGGGCGGCGGAGGAGGAGGAGAGGGCGGGCGAGGGCGCGGAGGGGAAGGGGTAGGGCGCGTTGTGGAGGAGCTTGGCGGCGAGGGCGGGGCGCGAGGCGAGGGGGAAGCACAGCACGGTGTCGACGGCGAGCAGGCGCTTCACGTTGGCTGTGACGAACTCCTGCACCTCCCTCACGTCCGCGGGCGAGGAGAGCGAGTCGACCTTGTTGAGCGCAAACACCACCTTCTTGCCCCACTGGCGGATGTAGCGCAGGAATGACACCTGCGGGCGGGGTGGCGGGGCAGTGAGGCATTGAGGAAATGAGGCAGATATGTGGAAGACAATCATGGAGAACAGAGGGCCAAGAAAGGGGTGCAAGGGTGTGCGGTTGGGTGGTCGAGTGTAAGAGGGCGAGTGGGCAGGAGGCGCACCTCAGACTCGGTGAGGGGGCGGTCAGCGGAGAGCACGAAGAGCACGAGGTCCGCCTGGGGCACGAACTCCTCTGTCAGGCGCTGCTGGCGCTCCAATATCACGTTCGTGCCGGGCGTGTCCACCACGTTCATCTGCTCCCATGCCGCGCCCAAGGCAAGGACAGATGGGCGGACAGGAGAGGGGTTGAGAAGACGACACGTGAGAGGGTATGAAGAGCAATGAGGGGAAGCAAGAGTGGATGCTTGAGATTCAGGTGGCAGTCATGAATGGCAGTCATGAATGGCAGTCATAAATGGCAGTCATGAATGGCAGTCATGAATGGCAGGCATGAATGTCCAGGGGGTAGCAGCGAGGGGCTGAGCGCGCACCTGTTTGAGGAGGTCGGCGGGCAGGAAGCGGATCATGTGGCCGTCGGGGTGGCGCTGCTCCTCCACCGCCATGCGCCCCGCCACCGCCCTCGCTGCCGCCCGCCCCGCTACCGCCCCCCTCTGCGACCCCGCTGCTGCCGCCGACAGCGCTGCACTGGACGCGGCCTGGGCGGCACGTGCACGCAGCTGCGAGGAGGGCGAGGTGTCGAGGTGGCGCAGCAGCGTGATCTCGTTGGTGGTGGGCACCACCCCCACCTTGAGAAACGCGTCCCCCAGCAGCGCGTTCACCAGCGACGACTTGCCCGAGTTGAACTCGCCCTGCCCCCATGTGCGTGGTGCGTGTGTGGCGCGGGAGAGAGGGGGGAAGGGTGGGCGAGGGAGGATTGTGAGAGGCGAGTCTTTGTGAGTGAAGCGAGAGGACGGGTTGGGTGCGAGGCAGCCATGTGCGAGGAAGTGGATGTGCGAGGAAGTGGATTTGCGATGAACTGGATGTGCGAGGAAGTGGATTTGCGATGAAGTGGATTTGCGATGAAGTGGATGTGCGAGGAAGTGGATTTGCGATGAAGTGGATGTGCGAGGAAGTGGATGTGCGAGGAAGTGGATGTGCATGCAATGCAGTGGCGCTAGAGGTACAGCATGGGAAGCCCTGGCGCGCGAAGGCGTGTGATGATGACGGGGACGTGAATGGAGTATGATGTCATGGGTGACCACACGAATGCATGGCGGTACAGAGGGGCACTGACCACGACAACAACGAGGAAGGGTTCCCCCAGTCGGGCGAGGGAGTCCTCCAACAGCTGTATCTCCGCCATCTGATGCCATGCCACGCCATGCCATGCCATGCGCACACAGGGGCAAGCATGGAGCCATTGCAGGCACGGAGTCATGTACGCATGGAGACACAGGGGCATGCAGGCACAGGGGCATGCAGGCATGGTGGAAAGCCAAAACGGCCAAGAAATAAAGACCATGGGATGGGAGGGAGACACATGTGCCATGGAGCTCACAACGGGGCAAGCAGCTCACATCAGGGCAGGCAGCACGGAGCAGGGCGAGCAGCGAGGAGAGCAGCTTCCTCTCCGCCTTCATGATCCGCCGCCCCTCCACGTCGAGCAACCCCCGCCCCTCCCTGCCCTCGCCCTCCTCCTCCTCTTCCTCCTCCTTCCCGCCCTTCTCGCCCTTCTCCCCCTCCCCCTCCCTTGCCGCCTGCAAGCGTACATCCTCCCCTGCCACAGCACTCGCAGCAGCGGGCCCCGGAGGGCCCCCCACGCCAGATAGCACCTGCTCCACCTCCTCCCTCACCTCCTCCACGTCCCCACGCCCTAGGACCTCGCCCCCTGCTGCACCTCCCACTCCCATGCCCATTTCCTCCCCCTCCTCCTCACTCTCCCCCTCACTCTCCGTCTCACTCTCCTCCCCCGCGCCCTCCCCCATGCCCTTGGTGACCCACCGAGCATCAGCCATGGCGCCCACCACGCGCCCCACCGCTGCGCGCATCGCCCTGCTCTCCCCGCCACCTGCCACACCCCCTACTTCCCCTGCTTCTACTCCGTCCGCTCCTTCTGCTGCTTCGGCTGGTTCTGTTGCTGCCGCCTGCAGCAGCGAGGAGAGAGTAACGGCCACGCCAGCTGCGCCGCTGCCCATGACGCCGCGCACCCACTGCACGCCCTCGCCCCCTGCCCACGCGGCCCCCTCGCCCCGCTGCACCAGCACGGGGATGCTCACCTGCCGCGCCCTCACCTGCGCCACTGCTGCCGCATCAGCACTGCGCCCCGCACTGCTGGCACTGATAGCACCCCGCCCTGGTGCGGCAGCGGAGGGTGCGAGCAGGATGAGGTCGGCGCCGTCAGCGGTGGTGGCGGTGACTGCGGCGGCCACGGACGCCACTCGGCGCGCCACGAGCGGCAGCAGCGGGCCCGACGCCGCACTCTCCATCATGCGCCGCGCCGCCACTGCCGGCAGACCTGAGGGATGGGTGTACGTACGGGGCGAGGCGAGGGGCCGTGCGCAGAGGGGCGCGGCCACGGGGAGAAGGGGCGAAGCAGAGGGTAGAGGAGAGGAGTGGCAGAGAAAGGCGTGAGAGGGACGGAGGATGAAGGGAAGAAGGGAAGAGGTGTGGCTGGGATGCCACATAGGCTGCGGGTTCAGAAGCAGGGAGAGCGATGCAGGAGGATGAAGGACTGTAGCCGTGAGAGGCGAGTGCTGTGATCGAGCATGGGTGCAGCATGTGAGAATGGGTGCAGCATGTGAGAATGGGTGCAGCATGTGAGAATGGGTGCAGCATGTGAGAATGCGTGCGGCATGTGAGAATGGGTGCGGCATGTGAGAATGGGTGCAGCATGTGAGAATGGGTGCGGCATGTGAGCATGGGTGCGGCATGTGAGAATGGGTGCGGCATGTGAGAATGGGTGCGGCATGTGAGAATGGGTGCGGCATGTGAGAATGGGTGCGGCATGTGAGAATGGGTGCGGCATGTGAGCATGGGTGCGGCATGTGAGCATGGGTGCGGCATGTGAGCATGGGTGCGGCATGTGAGCATGGGTGTGGCATGTGAGCATGGGTGCGGCATGTGAGCCATGTGCTATGCAGTGTGTGCATTGACCTCCCCAGCTTCCTGCAGTCACACTCCATGTATCACACCACGTGAAAGAAGCCATTAGAATCCCCTGGCTACTGCGACGCGTCATGTGCCATGCCATGCCACCATGTGACCACGCCATGCCACCATGCAACCACGCCATGCCACCATGCGACCATGCCATGCCACCATGCGACCACGCCATGCCACCATGCGACCACGCCATGCCACCATGCGACCACGCCATGCCACCATGCGACCACGCCATGCCACCATGCGACCACGCCATGCCACCATGCGACCACGCCATGCCACCATGCGACCGTGTCATGCTCCTCTCATCCGTCTCTCGCCCTTCTCCATTCCTCACCCCTCCCCCTACCCCCATCGCCCCTTTTCTGCGCACCCCATCGCACCGTTATCGGACAGCAGCACGCCATCAGCGCCGGCAGCGGCGGCGATATCCGCGCGTTCCGCCACGAGCAGCGGCACTCGCCCGCGCACCACCTCCTTCACGGCGCACGCCGCCTCGAACAGCTCCATGCCCGCGCCGCCCGCGCCCTCCTCCCCCACCACCACCATGGTCGCGCCCCCCGCCACCGCCGCGTCCACCGCCTCCGCGCTGCCCTGCGCCCCTCCGCGCAAGACTTCCGCGCTGGTCAGCGTCAGCAGCAGCGCAGGAAGGCGCACCTCCGCGCGCTTTTGCCCCGCGCGGAAAGAGCCTACCGCCACCGACCCCGCGGAGCCCTGCCCGCCCGACGTGGTCGCCGCGACGCGCACGGCCCCTCCATTGGTGCGGCGCGGTGGGACGGCTAGGCGCGTCGCGGGGACGAGCGGGGGGCGAGCGGAGAAGAAGGCGGCACGGGCGCTGGAGAGGCGCGCTAGGCGGGGAGGTGCACCTGCGAAATGAGCAGGACGCGAGCGAATCTGTGTACTGGGACCAGCGAAGCGAGCATTCACGAACATTTGCGAATCTGTGCGTTGATGACTCGTGGCGCACACGACGCTCACTCTCGCGTCGCGTAATAGTGTGGTGGGCGCCATGTTCGGATTCCAAATAATGAGTGAAGATCAGACGGAGAACGGAGAAAACGGGCCTAGCCAGCGATCATGGCTGGCAAAACTGACCGCAGTGACGAGTGGGTTGAGAAAGAGGCGGCGAGGGTGGAGAATGCACGGATAAGGAGGGCGAGGTGGATTCGAAGGATTCTGCCAAATCCACTTCGGTATTGGGACGGTACGGTCAAGGGATTACAACGTTGGATTCGTTAGCATGAAAACCTCTTGTCATGCAACATGTAAAAGTTGAAGAGTTGGAATGTTGCTATAATTGTGATTATCAAACAAATGGAAACTTAATCAGAAGAAAGTTAAGATGATTGAGATCATATATAATATTTAATAGCACACTAACATAGAAACATAGAAGTTACATCAAATGTTTTTTATTACCGGTAGCGAGATTTTCGTGCTCTATTGGAGGTACAGGTTTGTGTCAAATATTGTAGCCTGTAGTGAGGCTTGTCATGTGGGGTACATTTGTTAGGGTTAGGTATATTCCATTTGTTAGGGCCCGTTGCGCCCGTTCCGTCCCGTACCCTCGCACACGTGCGCCCGTCCCGTCCCCTCACACCCGTCGCGCCTCCCTGCTCGTCGCGTCACGCCCGTCCCGTCCCGTCCCCTCGCGCCCGTCGCGCCTCCCTGTCCGTCGAGTCGCGCCCTGCCCGTCTCGTCGCGTCGCGCCCGTCCCGTCCCGTCCCGTCCCCTCGCGCCTGTCGCGCTTCCCTGCCCGTCGCATCGAGCCCTGCCCGTCCCGTCGCGTCGCGCCCGTCCCGTCTTGTCCCCTCGCGCCCGTCGCGCCTCCCTGCCCGTCGCGTCGCGCCCTGCCCGTCCCGTCGCGTCGAGCCCTGCCCGTCCCGTCGCGTCACGCCCGTCGCGCCTCCTTGCCCGTCGCGTCGCGCCCTGCCCGTCCCGTCGTGTCACGTCCTGCCCGTCCCCATCAGCTAAGGTTTCCTCCGCCAAACTAAGACGTGGCAGCAGTAGCTCCCTCCCCTCCGCATCAGCTATGGCGACGCCTAGGGTCCTGCGCTTTGATGCCGAGGGTAGCCCGCTGGAGTTCTCTATCTGGCTCCTCCGTGCGCAGCGCCTGCAAGAGAGTCAGTGTCAGGCTGACGAGTCCCTCTGGGTGCACGCCTCCGGTGACCTTCTTGCGCCCTCTGCCCCTGAACCCCTAGGCGCTGACCCCACCACTGCAGACAGAGAGCATTTTGCACGTCAGCGCGTTGCCCTGACAGCTTGGAAGTCGCGCGACGCTGCGGCCTGCATCGCCCTCAGCAGCCTCCTCCCTGAGTCTGAGGAGACCCACTTCACCTAGGTTCGCACTGCTAGCGAGTTCCTGATTGCGATCAAGGCTCGATATCCACTCCTACCACTGTCTCTCTCGGTCGCCTGTTCCTCCCGTTCCTGTTTCCTGACCTCGCTTCGTTCGAGCGTTCTGCCGACTTAATCGCTCACCTGCGTTCGCTGGATTCTCGCTACCGCGCTGCCTGCACTGATGCACAGCTTGCACTGCTTCCCCCCCCCCCCCCCCCCCCCCCCCCCCCCACCCCCATGGCGATTACTATTTATTTTATCGTCACTAGCCTCCCTGACCGCCTTGTCACAGTTCGCGACGCGCTTCTTCCGAATACCCTAGTGAGCTCACTATCGAGGTCCTTGAGTATGCACTCAAGGACGTCGAGAGCAACCTCCGCTCGGTAGCCTTCGCCTCTGGCGCTGTGCCCCCCCCACTGTTCCACGGGTGCACTGTCCCACAGCTGCCCACCTTTACTACCTCCCTCGCCGCTACCGCTACTGACGAGACCGCGGCTGCTGTCACGACTTCTGCGCAGTCTAGAGTTAGGAGTGGCAGGAGGGGTGGCCAGGGTACAGCCAGCAACGGAGGTGGGGGAGGTGGCGTGGTGTGTGGCGGTGGCGGGAGTGCAGGTGCTGGTGGAAAAGCCTCGTGCAGCTTCTAGTGGCTCCCCTGCTGCAGCTGGTGGAGGTGACGCTCGGGTTCGCCAGGCACCTGCGGGGCTGCCAGCTGCATGTGTTGGGGTAGCGGCCTGGTACCTGCCTCAGCAACAGCATCAGCCACTGCTCTCGCAGCAGCAACAGCAGCAGCAGGGGCAGCAGCAGGTTCAGCGGCACGGGTCAGGACCGCATCAGCTGTCGCGTGGTGACGCCCACCCACCCTGCCCCTACCTCATCCAGACAAGTACTCGCAGTGGCCTCCGCTGCGACCGCCGTCACCCACCGGGTCAGTGCTTTGCTCAGCTCACTGATAGAATTCGCGCGGCCTACGGCGTAGACGGCCCTGCCCCTGACTGTCTTCCCCTTGTTCTCTCGCACGGTCCCGCACTGTGGGACATGTCTGCTTCTCAGTTACTTGAACTTTTAGGAACTGCAAATGCTATCTATGCTGTTGTTGACTCTAGTGCTTCAGACTCCCTTTGCTCACGTGTTTTTAGCTTAGGTGCTAGTGTTGATCCTGTGCCAGTTGCTAGTGTAGGTGTTTGAGTAGGCGCTAGTCCAGGTGCCGCTTCGGCAGATGCGTCGCTGTCTTTCACGCTGGACTCTGATGCGTCGCATTGTTTCTTCCGCGACCACACGACTCTTACTCCGCTTCCTGCACCGGTCTCTATCGCACTGGCAGATCCCACTTCGGGACCAGTCATTGCTCGCCACTCTACCATGCTTCCGTGCCCGGCTGTTCCCTCGGGTTCCCTGACAGGCCTCCACATCCCTTCGTTCTCTAGGAACTTGGTGGGTGCGCGGTCGCTCGTGAGTCCGCACGCTGATGTTTGGTTTGAGCCTTCTAGGGACTCTACAACCTATGTGGACGGTGACACGTATGCCCCCCTGGCCACCTTTCGCCAGGAGCCGGGTTCTGGTCTCTACACGTTTCACACTGGCCCCCAAGAGAGGCAGCAGAAGCAGCAGCAGTGCCAGCAGTAGCAGCAGTTGTTGCCTCCGAATCCTGTCAGTGCCCCCCCTCAGGTCCCAGCATCCCACCAGGTAGTTGTATCTAGTCAGGTTACGGCGTCTGGTCAGGTTGCTGCTTCTTGATCGTGTCGGTCGCTTGCCCACCTCACCGTTCTGTAGCACCACCGTCTTGGTCACCTGTCCCTTCCCCGCCTTCGCACTATGTCTAGTCAGCGTCTTGTCTTAGGCCTCTCGCGAGTCTAGCCGTCGTTGCCGCCTTCTTCGCCTGCACCACCTTGCGGTCCTTGTGTCGAGGGTCGGCTGCGCGCCACCCCTTACTCCTCCTCCCTTTGTCCGGCCACCGAGCGCTTCGAGACTCTCCACTTGGACGTTTCTGACAGCTTGGCTGACATTCTAAATAACAAGTATGTTGAATGCACGTCATTCTGAGTGCATGTCATCCTAACGTCCTCCTTAGTGTTCGTCCTATTTGTGCTTGCATGATTCGTATGAGCGTATGCCATTGTGCATGGTTGTTGGATATTATCATCTCTGTGCTTTTCTCCAAGTTTAAATGCTTGTTCATGTAAGAGAAATCCAGAGCTTTCCAACGATTCCAAGATCGCCCAAGTTATAAGATTCCCAAGTTTTGGGAATTCTATCTCATTTTGAGATATTATCTATATTGGGTGATTATTGGGACATGACTATACAGGGATCTTTGGTTGGGTAGTTAGGAAGACAACTTTGACTTTTGGATTGTGGTGGTTAGAAGTTTCTAGCATAGGTTGCAAATGTTGCAACACCTAGGCAAAATCCAACTAGATTGGATTTTGCATGTGACACCTCAAGGACCTCATGATGAGGGTTGCATCCCTACTGCTATGTAGTACATATGTAAACCCTCATGTATATTTGTATATGTATATGTATATGTATATATATGTATATATGTATATATATGTATATATATATATATGTATATATACTTATATATATAGGTATACATATAAAAAACAATATAAGCAGCGCAAGAGGCAATCCACAACAAGCGATGATTTGTCTGGACAAGGCCAAGCTACGAACAAAATCTGCGGTGTTCAGTAGGCGGAAGGGCCTTGGTGAAGATGTCCACAGTGTTGGCCTCCGAGGCCACAAAGACCAAGGGTGCCTCACCGTGCCCAACTAGTGCTGAAGTCGGTGTCTCCCAGTCTCAACAATGCCGGCAAGGAAGCTAAGAGGATAGGCAAGGTCCGGACGATTGCAGATCGGCAGGTACGGTACATGAGGCACCCCACCAGTTTTGCGTACAGACCACTAGGCTCAGCAGGCTTGTTAGGGACAAGAGCTGAGAGCTTATGGTCAATAGCAAGGGGAGTGGGCTATGAAGAGGAGAACCGAAGGCGAAAGCGGTCGAGGATCTGCTGCACCATGTGTGAGTGCGTCAGAGTGATGGTGCGTGCTCCTCTGTCCTTAGTGATCTACAAGCCAAGATAGCGTCGCAGCTCACCTAGGTCATTGCACGAGTGTCTCTTCTACATCCCTGCCTTCACTGAGGCCAGTGCAACCCAGTCAGGAGTAGTGATGACCAAGTCGTCAACGTATACCAGATTGTAGAAAGGTGTCTAGCCATAGCAGAAGAAGAGAGAAGAGTCACTTTTAGATAAGGAGAAGCCGAGCAAAGCAAGAGTAGTGTTTAAGGTGTCATGCCACAAAGAGCTTGACACAGACAGTACAATGGCCACCAAAGGCTCCACCGGGTCCAAGAGGTGAAGGACCCACTGTAACAAGGTGGATGGCGATGTCAGATCTGTTCGTGCAGGCTGCCTTGGAGGAAGGCCATGGAGAAGTCAAGTGAGTGGAGCTCGTAGTCGCGTTGTGCTGCAACGTGCAACAATAATCGAAGAGTTGTCATCTTGGGGGTGGGGGAGAAGGTATGGAAGTAGCCCATCCCATCTTGCTAAGTGAAGCAGCTCGCCACATAGCACGCCTTGAAGATAGGC